GGGGGAATGGGGAGGAGGGGTGGGATGGTGGACCAGGGATAAGGGTGAGGGTCAGTGTCTGTGGAGAAAGGGGTTCCGTTAGAATTTTCGCTCTGGGGCATGAGGGATCTGCGGGGTAAGGCGCACAGAGCCGTAAGGAGGCGCCGTAAGGCCCGCGGCCAGGGCGCCCGAGTCCAGGCCCGGGTCCACGGGTGGTCGCACCTGGACCCGGGGAGCAGAGGGGCACAGATGCTGCGAGAAAAATTGTGGGTGCCCTGGAACGGGCTCATTGTGATCGGGAAGAGAATGGAGCTCCTGGGTAGAAATACACAAAAGCCTAGGATGTGTGACCCAAAGCTTGACTCTGAGTACTGGGGACGAGAAGATGTGGAAAAAATGGTCTTGAAAGCGAAGTCAGGCCAAAGTCAGGAAAGGATGGATGTGAAGCTACTGCACAGTGTAGCAAGTGCATTATGGGCTTCAGCAGGTTTGGGGAAAAACAGCCCAAAGGAGATGGGGGGAAAGCAAGAAATTAGAGGCAAAATAGGCGCTGAATCCGAGAGTGCAGGGACTACAGCAGGGTCTAGGAGGGGGTCTGGTTTAAAAGAGAGGTTGAAATTTACTGGGGTGGGGACCAGAGGAGAGGACTTGAGATCCAGACCACATGCACGAGGGCAGAATGAGGAGGAGCTGAGGTCAAGTGGAGAGAAGCTGAGTGGAGAGAAGCTGAGATCAAGTGGAGAAAAGCTGAGGTCAAGTAGAGAAAAGCTGAGGTCAAGTGGAGAGAAGCTGACATCAAGTGGTGAGAAGCTGAGCCTGAGTGAAGAGAACCTGAGGTCAAGTGGAGAGAAGGGGGCATCCAGGGGAGAGAAGCTGAGAAGTAGTGGAGAGGATTTGAGATCCACTGGAGATAAATTGCAGTCAAGTGCAGAGAAGCTAGAGGGTTCAGGAATGGAGAGCATAACTGAAGAGACAACTGAAAGAATGGTAGAAGTTACTGGTGATAAAAAATGGATTAAAGTTCCTGATGCTGAGATGGAAAATCCTTTTGAAAAGGTGGAAGGAAGTGATGAAGAGTGATGAAGAGCTAGAAGGGACTGAGGAAGCAGTGGGAGTTGAGGATGTCTTGGGTGGAGTGAATGATATTGCTGATGAATCTGTTTCTATGGAAGAGAAAGAGGTTATAGATGAAGGTAATGGTGAATGAGGCAGATGAAGGACTGAAGCTAATGAAGGAAAGAGAGGCAGATAGAGGGTGTTGCAAGTCAAGGAGGAGAAATTAGAGCCAAGCAGAGCATTATTGACCCTGAAGAGGTAAATATGAGAGAGGTAAGGAGAGCATGGGGATGAAGAATTTGCAAGGATGAAGGTGGAGGCTAGGGCCAAAGGAAATGAAGAAGAATGAGAAGGAGGGAAATGGGAACATTTTGAGGAGATAGAAAGGATCTGATAATGTGTTGCTATGTCGAGGAAAGGTGGAGATTTTTTTCTTGGAGAAGAGCTGTGACTGAAGGGCTTGTTGGGAAATGTTTGAGAAATGGATTTGGGAGGGGCTAGAGGATTTAGTTTAATGTGTGGTTGGTTTATAAGTTAGAGAAGAATGCATAGTGAGAAAAATGGGGAATTACAGCAGGATAAAGGGTAAATAATGAAGGTTGTGAAGGAAGATGCAAGCTGGAGCAAGGAAAGAAAACTTCTGAGAGGATCCTGAAGAGGAATGAGGGGCTCCAAAGTGACACAAGCAAGAGAAAAGAAAGAAGTGAAGAAAAAAGGTAAGAAGTCAAATCCCATCATAATGATTATGTTTGTTGGGTTTTAAAGTTATTTCCTTTACTCTCTCTGTACGCCCCTCTCCCATGTAAGCCAATTTTACAATCGAATGGGACAGGCCTCTCGCGGGGCCCTATACATCTGGACCAAGCCCATCCTCATGGATCTATCCTCTAACTAGCCTCCAAATATAGCCGGAATAATGCTGGGCTCGATTCACCATGATCACCATTTCCGTGGGTTTCCCTCACCTCCACACATCAAATTTGAGTTGCTCAGACTTGATACGAAGTTACCTCAACTGTTTGTGTTATTACTGTTTCCATCTTTGACTTGGTTATTCATCTAATCACGTGGACTTTTCCCCTCGTGTCAGTCTCCTTTGGGGCTTTCTCCTATGACTTCCATATGCCATCCATCATCTACTCTCATCCCAGGGAAGAGAGAAGACTCCCTGAGTGCCTACTGTCAAGACATCAACATCAAAACTTAGGCTCTTAGATCCTGTTTGTCTCTTCGATAGGGATATAGGAGGTGGAAAAAAGCAGCCATGGATAGTTTGGATGAAAGAAATATTTCACCTTTTTCCCCCCATATACCTTTTTTTGGGAGGGGAGAGAGAGTGGTGTTGGGGGGCAGAGGGAAAGGGAGAGAATCTTTTTTTTTTTTTAAAGATTTTATTTATTTATATGACAGAGAGAGACAGCGAGAACAGGAACACAAGCAGGCGGAGCAGAGGAGAGGGAGAAGCAGGCTCCCCGCGGAGCAGGGAGCCCGATGTGGGACTCGATCCCAGGACCCTGGGATCATGACCTGAGCCGAAGGCAGACGCTTAACGACTGAGCCACCCAGGCGCCCGAGGAAGAGAATCTTAAGCAGGCTTCACACCCAGTGTGGAACCCATTGCAGTGCTCGATCTCACTACCCTGAGATCATGACTTGAGCTGAAACCAAGAGTCAGACACTCAACCGACCAAGCCACCCAGGCGCCCCTCCCCCAGGTACTTTTTAAAGTCTATAATATTGGGGTGCCTGGGTGGCTCAGTCAGTTAAGTGTCTGCCTCCAGCTCGGGTCATGATCCCAGGCTCCTGGGATGGAGCCCCACATCGGGCTCTCTACTCAGTGGGGAGCCTGCTTCTTCCTCTCCCTCTGTAGCTTTCCCCATTTGTGCTCTCTCTCTCTGTCAAATAAATAAATTAAATCTTAAAAAATAAGTCTGTTAATATTTCTGAGGAGTAGAAACTTCATCATATCACAAATATCATGACACAGATTTATAATAGGCTCATGTTTTTTAGTTGTTTTATACATACCCTTTGCTCATTTTCCCCAAAGCCTCCAAAAGATCTGTAAACCCCATGCCATATTTTTTGTTCATGTAGTCAGACCTAATGATAATTCATCAATTTCATTTTTTCCCTGGCAATTTCCTTCTTTGAGTCCTTTATCCTCTGGGTCTGATGTAGAGTGGCTGCGTTCTAGGTTTGCCCCATTGCTGCTTTCCTGGGCTTCTTAACGCTTCTTTCTGTTTCTTTGCGTTGGATCTCCTACTGCCTGGATCTTAGATCTTCTCCCTCTTTCTTGTGTTACAGCCTCATTTTGGCCAACCACATCATCTAATAGCTTCCAAAGAAAGAGATCACGGGAGGTGAACTTTGTGACAGCTTATCTGCCTGAAAATATTGATTCTTCTCTCATATTTGATGGATTTATTGCAAGTCGAAGAGGATAAATTAGAGCCAAGCATAACATTATTGATGTTGAAGGGGTAAATATGAGAGAGGAAGGGAGAGCATCTGAGTCTGCGAGGAGGGAATGGGGATGAAGAGCTATGAGGCTCGAGGTTGGAAATATTTTTCCCTTAGAATTGTAAAGGGAGGGGCGCCAGGGTGGCTCAGTCGGTTAAGCGTCTGCCTTTGGTTCAGGTCATGATCCCAGGGTCCTGGGATCCAGCCCCGCATCGGGCTTCCTGCTCAGCAGGGAGCCTGTTTCTCCCTCTCCCTCTGCCTGCCTCTCTGCCTACTTGTGCTCTCTCTCTCTGTCAAATAAGTAAAATCTTAAAAAAAAAAAAGAATTGTAAAGGCATTGCCCCCCTCTTCTAACTTCTGAGTGTTGCTGTTTATAATTGCAGTTTTGTTCTTAAAAAATTTTTTTTATTCTGTGGATATGACCTATATAAATTACCTGTTTTCTACCACTCTAATGGCTCACCCTGCCCTCTCCTTCTGTTTTCTTTCTCTTTTTTAAGATTCTTTTTTTTTTTTTTAAAGATTTTATTTATCCATTCATGAGAGACAGAGACAGAGGGAGAAGCAGGCTCCCCGTGGAGCAGGGAGCCCGATGCAGGACTCGATCCCAGGACCCTGGGATCATGACCTGAGTCGAAGGCAGACGCTAAACCGCCTGAGCCACCCAGGCGTCCCTCTCCTTCTGTTTTCTATGGTTCTACTACAGGACATTGGAGCCTGAGTTAGAGCTCTTATCTTTTTTCTACTTTTGTCCTTTTTTTAATTCTACTCTCTGGACAATTTCATTAATTTTATCTTGTTATTCTTTCTATTGAGTTTTTTTTTTTTTAACTTCAACTCTTGTTCATTGATTGTTTCTTTTTTTTTTTTATAGCACCTCTGTTTTTTGTTTTGTGTACATGTTCTTTTAGATCTCCAAGGAAGAATTTTTCTGTTTTTAAGTGTTCTGCTTTTCATACTATTTCCTCTGAATTCTCCTCCCCCTTTGCTGGTGTGTGTGTGTGTGTGTGTGTGTGTGTGTGTGTGTGTGTTGGAGGTTTTCCTAAAATATTTGATCTTACTCTCTGTGCACAGATGGGGCTTGTTAATTGATGGTCTTCATTCTTTATTGTTTTATATTGTATTTATCCTTTTATTTTCATCTTGATGGGGTTTGGAGATAAACACATGTATGTGTTCAATCTGCCATGTTTGACAAAAAGTCTCCTCCATTACATTTTGATTGTTTTTAATTGAATTCTTAAGTGTAACCCTGATTTTCATCTTGAAGGTAACTTGTTATTTCCTTTATGAATTTTCCTGTGTGAAAGTGACTAGCACAATGAACAAATAAACCTCAGTGTACAGCAAACTCTACATCAGTTATTATAAACATGCTGTAATTGCTCTCATCTTTGAAAAAGCACAAAACCTCTCTTGACTCCACATTCCCCTCTAGCTACTGCCCCATTTTTCTTGCTCCCTGTGGTAGGCACAAAAGTGGCCCTCCAAAGATATACTCACTTCCTAGTCCCAGGAACCTCTACATATTACATCATATGGCAGAAGCGTGAATATTACCTTACATGGCAAAAGATGTGATTAAGTTAAAGATCTTGAGAGGAAGAGCTTATTCTGGATAATCTGGGTGAGCCCTAAATGCTATCACAAGTGTCCTTATAGGAGAAAGACAAAGGAGATCAGACACCCAGAAGAGGAGGAGGCCATTTAACCCCAGAGACAGACCACAGTGATTTGGCCACAAGTCAAGCAGTGTCAGGAGCCACCAGAGGTTGAAAGGGCAAATAATGGATTCTTCCCTAGAGCCTCTGTAGGAAATGTGCACAGCCTTTGCCAATACCTTGATTTTGGACTTTTGGCCTCCAGAATTTTATTCTCCAGAGAGAATAAATTTCTGTTTTTTTTTTTTTTATTTTTTTTTTTTTTAAGATTTTATTTATTTGCGAGAGAGAGAATGAGAGACAGAGAGCATGAGAGGGAGGAGGGTCAGAGGGAGAAGCAGACTCCCTACTGAGCAGGGAGCCTGATGTGGGACTCGATCCCGGGACTCCAGGATCATGACCTGAGCCGAAGGCAGTCGCTTAACCAACTGAGCCACCCAGGCGCCCAATAAATTTCTGTTTTTTAAGCCATGCAGTTTGTGGTAATTTGTTACAACAGCTCTAGGAAACTAATACATTCCCTTTACAGCAGAATTCCTCCCAAAAGTAGTCTATGCTTACTTTTTCTGATCTTCTCCATTCCTTTTTATCTAACTTTTTATATTGGGCATTTAAAAATATACAGAAAAATTGAAAGTTTAGAGCAGTTAACAAATATTCTTTACCTAGATTCAGCAGCTGATAAGTTTGCCCTATTTGCTTTGTTTGTAAATACTTCAGCACATATCTCCTAAGAATTAAGACATTCTCCTCCATATCCATAATACCTAAGTAAATTAAAATTATTTTAATTTAATAAATTAAAAATTAAGAATAATTTTCTAGGGGCACCTGGGTGGCTCAGTCACTTAAGCATCTGCCTTCGACTCAGGTCATGGTCCCAGGGTCCTGGGATCGAGCCCCACATTGGGCTCCCTGCTCAGCGGGGAGCCTGCTTCTCCCTCTCCCACTCCCCCTGCTTGTGCTCTCTCTTTCCCTCTGTCAAATAAATAAATAAAATCTTTTAAAAAAGGAAAATTCCCTAATATCATTTAATATTCAATATATATTACAATTTCCTTCCATGTCCCAGATGATCTTTTATAACCTTTTTCCTTGGCCCAGCATCTCATCAGGGCTCATATGTTGAATGTGCTTGTTAATTCTTTTTAATCTACATTGATCTCCTCTAATTCTGTTTTTAACAAGCTTGACTTTTTTAAAGAATTCAAGCCTATTTGCTTATAGATGTCCAGCATTTTTTATTTATCTGACTGTGTCTAGATGGTGTCATTTAGTTCATTCTTCTAACCACTGTAGTTTTTATGCACTGGGAGTTGGAGCTGTAGGTCCTGGTTTCTTTCTCTGTAGCACTTATCACCTTCTGACTCCAAGTTTCCCTTCTTTCATTGTTTATTATCTTTCACCTCTAGAATGGAAGTTCCATGAGGGAATCAATGTGTGCCTGTTGGGTTACCTGTTCTAGTCTGCTGTCTAACCAACACATAGTAGGCACTCAGCATGTATTTGTGGTATGAATTAAAGTCACATTCAGTGCTTTTACCTGTATCAATACTATTTAACATCTAATAAGAAATTGCTGTAATAATTTGCCCTGTTCCTTAGAATATCTCACATTTTTTAAAGCCTCAAATGCCTGAAAATGTCTTTATTCCATACTTGAGGTTAGTCTAGGTATAGAATTTTCCCTCAGAAGTTTGAAGGCATGGCCCTTTGTTTTCTCCCTTCATGCGTGGCCATTGCACTCGACCAGGTGATCTGTGTATGTAGTCTGCCTTCTTCTCCCTCTGTTATTTTTGCTTATTTATTGGTCTGAAGTTTATAGCTTGCTCTCTCTTCCATGCTCTAGGAACTCTGATCCCACAGTTGGGCAATAAAGTAGAGATACTGGGTGTGGGCAGAATTGTAAAGATAAGCTACAGAAGGCTCAAACCTGGTAGTAGGATCTTTTTGGCAAGTGATGATAGCTAACAATTACTGAATTCTTATAATAATCTGAATACTTTCATCGGTAACATGCTAAGCACTTTTTTTTTTTTTTTAACATGCTAAGCATTTTTTACGTGCTCTCTATCATTTAATCCTTCCAACAACTCTCTGGGACAGGAACTATTACTGTGTCAGCTCTACCAGCTAGAAACTGCCAGGGCCATGCCCTGAGCCCAGGCAACCTGATCCCAGAGCTGTACTGGAAACCACTTTGATGAACTGCCCACTCTGTTCGTATTAGAAAAGCCCCACTACTCAGTTACCAGCCTGCCAAAGCCAGGCCTGCAATCCTGCCTAGGGGGTGGGGAATGAGGCTGGGTAACAACCCTTCCATTTATTCAGTGAAGCTTGTTGAATGAGTGCTTCAGTGGCAAGTTTTTAAGAACATAAATGCCAAAAAGCAATGATGTTTATTTTCTTTCCCAGATCTCTGCCTTCCCAAGATCATCTACTCTTAGCCTCCTTTGGTGAATCTCAGAGCACTGAGAAATTGTTGCCTCTTTGATAGGAGGCTTACACAGGCATGACATCAAGACAGCTGTGTGAGTCTCTCAGATGGCACTGCACAGCATATAAATCATGAACCAAATAACCAGACTCGTTCTTTGGCTGGATTACATGTTCTCCTGGGATATCAGAATCGTTCAACTGAGGCCACAGAAAGAAGTAGTGAAGATCAAGACACCACGACAAATCACAGCCACCTTGTAAGTGCAGATATTTTCAATCATCTAGGTAGCTAGAACTTTGTATATGTGATATCCTTTTTTACTAAAATTAATCAAAGTGAACACATTTGAGGGAATTGAGGGCTCTTGAGTGATTTTATGTATCTCCAGTATCCTAGTCTTTCTTTGGATATTCCCAAAGATCCCTGTTTCTTGCAACAGGATATGTTAAAAACGACATTACTGTTTGGCTTTTGTCAAATGCCCCCTTCACTAGTCCCATTAATTCATTCAGCAAACACCAAACACTTATATGTGCCAGTTGGGAATGCAACAAATGTGTAGGACCAGGTTCTTGCCCTTGGCCTCCTATCTCGTGTTGAGACAGACATCTCTACAGGTAGATGTGCATTGTGAGGTTAGGAGGGTGCTATGTACTAAGTGTGGTAGAACTGCAGAAAAGGGAGGGCCTGGCCATGAGGCTGGTAAGAGGGGCAATCAGAGAAGGCTTCCTCATGTTTTTGACCACTTGGGGCTGGACTAGTGAGAAGAATGCTGAGAAGGGGTCAGCACTGGATGAGGAGAGGGCAAACAAACATTCTCAGCGGAAAGAAGAAGATTGCTGACCATGACCAGGGACTGCATAGCTCACTCAGGAGAGGGCAAGAGCAGTAGTTTGGGACAGCTGGAGCAGAGAGAGTATTATAGAGACTGGCAGAATGTGAGCTTGGGAGAGCCTGGGGATAGCCTTGAATGCAGGATTAAGGAAGTTAGCCTTTGCTCTCTAGGTGACAAGGAGAATGACACCATGAAATCTTCGCTTTACATAGTTTACCAAGCTGAGAGGTGGAATCAAGTGGGTGCAGCATGAGGGTGGGTCAGAGTGGGGTGCTGAGTAGGTGCTCAGTAAAACAGGAGATGTGATCATTAATTAGATCATTATAATGAACAGTTCAAGATAAAGAGGTCAAGGCTATGAACTGAGGCAGAGAAAGTGGGGGCAAAAACCAGAGGAGAGATTGGAGAAGGTTCCAGAAGTCTGAGTGAACAGGATTGCTAATTAATTGTGAATAGATGGAGGCGTCAGGCTTACAGATAACAGTAGCTGACATGTGTCATCCAGGGCTTACTCTGTAGTTAGGCACTTTGTGTGCAGTATCTTTTTTAATCATAGTAGCCCTATGAGAGTGGTTGTATTACTTTCTGCATTTTATAGGAGAGGGAGTTGGAGCCTGGAGTGGTCAATCAAAGTGACTAGGCAGGTATATCGTGTGGTAGTAGTTAGGATTCGAACCCAAGGGAGTCAGCACCCTTAGCTGCTACACAGTAGCGTCAGCAGCTGACTGGATTTTGGTACCAAGTGACTGGGAAGTGAAGTGACCACCTCAGGAAGCAGTTAATGAGTGACAGATGAGGGCCTGGAACCCACTGGAACCAGTTCTTGCCCCCCCCGCCCACCCCGAGTTCACAAACAGGAGGCTGGGCACCACATCAGGTCATAGCCATGTTGTGTTTGGTTTATAGAATATTTTTAAAAAAGTTTTTGGAACTAACTGCTAACATTAAAAAAATTGAGAGATTCACATTAAAACCTGCTGGATTATCTTGAAAAGTGAGAAGATCTGGCCATACTGGGCCCATATAGCAGCAACCTTTGCTGCTGCTTCTGTGTTTCCTTCAGCTAGGGCCTGTGCCCCCTAGTTGGCCAGAGCCCACCAGCCTGGGATCCATGCCCACCTCTGCAGGTACCTGAGTTTGCATCTCTCCACCACAAGCTGGTCCAGTTTGATGCTAGGCTGTGTCTGTGCATTTAATCCTGTGTCGAGCCCAGGCTTCCACTGATGGTTAAATACTCTTTTCGAACTTTAGGGAATATAAGATAAAAACAGCAACATGTTTTGTGTTGTTTGTTTTTTCCCTTCATACTGTGGGAACTGAGAAAAAATAACTGCTGCTCACACTTGAGCGCCCACAAGAGGAGGGTGACATACAGGTCACGCAGGGCGAAGGTGAATGGTCGTAGTTCCCAAAGCCAGCACCAGGTAAGAGGAAATGTCAATCATACCATGGGAAACGGCAGACATAATGGGAGCTTTACAAATCATGCTGTGACTTCTTTCTGTTTAATTTGTTCAGTAATTAATTATTTGCTTGAATTTTGAACTGTGACTTTAGACGTATTATAAGGAAGCTTTGGGGGAAAATACGCACGCACGTATACATGCCTGTGGGGTGTGGGTGGGCCATAGCTTACATTCCATCGCTTGGAATTCTCTGCAGTTTCAAAATGTTATTTTCTAAGTTTAATGATTTTTTTTTTTAAGATTTTTATTTATTTATTTGAGAGAGAGAGAGAGAGAGCATGAGAGGGGGAGGGTCAGAGGGAGAAGCAGACTCCCCGCCGAGCAGGGAGCCC